CCGGGCGGCCCTCCCTGCCCTTTTCCGTGGGGCTGGGGGGAGGTGCTTGGGAGGGTCGTGCTGGTGGGGGGGGCTTGGTTCTGCTCCTCCCGGCCGCCTGTCAGCGTGTCTCTCCCCCAGGGCCCCCACCAGCCCGGGCAGCCTGGGTTCAAATTCACGGTGGCCGAATCCTGCGACCGGATTAAGGACGAGTTCCAGTTCCTGCAGGCCCAGTACCACAGGTGAGCCTCCCGGCGCCCGGCCCTCCTCGCAGGGACGCGCCCGGCTTTCCCTAAGGGGGGGGCCGGCGGACACCCTCCTCCTCAGAAAGCCCCCTCCCCCTCCCCCTCCCCCTCGCGTGCCTCCCCTGCTGAACGGTTCGGACTCCAGGCCGTGCCCTGAAGCTGTGAGGCCTGGCTCTGCCCGCGTTTGCTGGGAGGAAAATCGCTGTGGTTTCCTCCACGGAAGGGTGCCCGAGAGTTGCATCTTTGGCCAGTGGGCGCTCGCTTGCTGCGCTGCCTCCGTGAATCAAGGGGCTCTTTTGTGGTGGGGCCTGCCCCGTAGACCACCTCAAGGCATTTACGGCTTGCAGCTTGTCAGAAAAGTCCAAAGCAGCTGGCGATTTCCGTCCCCCTACCCGCCAGGCTTGCCTGTTGTTCGCTGGCAGTGTAAAAACAGAAGCCTCAGGAACGGTGGTTCTTTAGCTGAAACCTCCAAGGATTTACTTTTTTCTCCCAAGAATGTGTTGCTTTCAGTGTTCATTTGATGCATACTTGGCAGGCTGTGATTCAGAGAGTTCAGGATTGGCAGGAGGGGAGGGGACTGGATGCTTCAGCGTTAGAAAATGGAGTGCATTTCCTCTGGGCCTTTGCGCCTCAATTCTGAGTGCCAGAGTTCATTTTTGTGAAGGTTTAAACCTCCTTTCATTTCATGAGTGTGGCTAGTAGGCATGCAGGAGGGGAGAAAGAGGATTGATGTCAAAATATTGGATTTGTGGGCATCTTTTTTGCTATTTCCTTCCTTGTCTTTGAACGAATAATGTTTTGTGAAGTATGCCATATCAGTTTAAAACTTCATATTTTTTTAGTCTGAAAGTGGAGTATGATAAGCTTGCAAATGAAAAGACAGAAATGCAGCGTCATTATGTCATGGTAAGAGACGTCTTTTCAGGGTTTGCATGGAATGGGGGGGCTGCTTCTTCATCAGCTGCTTCTTAAGTCACTTTGGAATCCCACTTACCAGGAATCTCATAAGTAACCCTGAATGTTCATGCACTGTTGGTGGAGGGAGCTTTGCCAAACTGCAGTTCTCTGATCTTTCTAGCTGTGGTATCTGGGTGCTTTCAGACAACACTGCTTGGAAGGCACTGAAAATGCTCTGGTTAACATGAGCCCTTTGAAAATTGGTCATCAGGATGGTCCACAATCCTGACTGCCCTGGTTGTATGACCTGAAAACTTTTTGTCATATGGTGGATCCAGGATTGAGGTTCACAGAACTCTCAGTTCTCTTAAGGCCTGTGTGGTGCTGGGGCGAACAAGGGGTCTGGGTCATCCGAGTGGGCTCTACAGGGTCTCTGAGGTTCAGAGCACCTCTGCTTCCTTTGAGCAGGCTGCTGGTGTATGTCAAAGTTTCTGCTTGAGGCAGTAAGTCAGCAAGTGCTGCTTTTATAATTTTATTTAGTCGTTGATCATATTTATATATTATAGTCATCTCCAAGGATAACCCAACAAGTTTACTACCAAACTACCAAAATTGCGGGCAGTGCCACTCGCATTGCATTTCTTTTTTGGGGGACTCACCCAGAAGGATTACCAGGCTGGAGGTGGCCTTGGCTTGGCTGACAAGCCATCGTGTCACCAGGGGGAATATAGGCCCAGCGGTTGTGTAAATGCTTAATCACTGTGGTATGTGGTCAGCTGCCTTTGCTCCTTCCTTCCCTTCCTCACCGCACTCACTGCTGCCACTAATCACCCCTGTGGTTGTGGCCGTTCAATAATTATTCTAGGCAGAGGTTAATAACTTGGGTGGCATTGCCTGTCAGATGATGGTTGGGTGCATAGAGCCTGCTGAGATTTCAAGGCGGCTGAAGCTGCACAGAGACTCCCTGTTCGTCTCTAGGACCCTCAAGGTTTGCTCTGGGTGGGAAGCTTCTCTCCAGCAGTGAGGAGATGAAGATCTTGCCTGGGGAAACTGAGACAGCCTGGCTTCAGAGTAGTGGCTTTCTCCTGCCAGGCCTCCAGATGCGCAGACTGGCATGCTTGTGGCCATTTTCTTGCACCTTGAAAGGGCTGGTATGGAAAATAGGCTGATTATATATTCCCTGAAAGACCATCAGCTGAATTCCTGTCCACACTCAGCTCTTGGGTTGTGTGTGGAGTCTCTCCACAACAGAAACTCTGGCCTAGCTGGCACTGTTTGTAAATTTGGCACTTGTGGCAAAGAGCTTCCCCTGTCCTGGATCATTAAGTTCCTGAGTTGATGGGTGGTGATGATGTCAAATCCGACGCCTTCTGTAGCTTGAGCACCTTGTGCCTTACGTTGTGCTGTTGAAGGGAGCCCTGGGGAACCTTCCAAGGACTGCTTGGGCTGTGCACTTCCTGGAGGCAGTGGGGACACAACTCACGCCTGGGTAGCTGAGCTGAGGGAGGAATATCAAGACTTTGGCCATTTGCTCAAGGGAACAGACATTGGATGACAATCTTTTGCTAGGTTTGCTAGGGTCACCTGAACCAAGGTGCCTGAAGTCCTAATAAGCCCAGGTTTTGTCACGCTGATGTTGAATTTTGGGCACACTTACTTTCTTCCAAACGTTTCTTGTGCAGTTAGTAACAAGCTTATCCCACTTTTGTTTTTCAGTACTATGAAATGTCTTATGGGTTGAACATTGAAATGCACAAGCAGGTGAGTGCATTCCTTTAAAGCCCCTTATCTGTATATCTGCAGCAGGTGTCTCTCCCAAGGAACTCCCAGAATGAGCCCCATAGACTTTGGTGTGCAGTTGTGGGCCGGGGGTGGACGGGTGGTGGGTTTTCCCCTTCCTTGGCCTGAATTCAGGACGGCTGGCTAAAGGACCCACAGAACAATGGAGCTTCCGTGACTCTGCAGGTCGACATAACTTCAGTTGTAGGAGCCAGATTCTGGCATTACTTTCTCAGTTGTAATAATCTTGGAATTTGCCTTGATTTAAGCAACAGAGTGCATTTTATTATGTGTATTTACTTATTAGGTAGATTATATCCCACCTTTCATTCAGGAGCTCAAGCCAGGTTCACAACATGCTCTCCTCTCATTTCCTCCTCCAACAACAGCACTGCAAGGTTGGTTGGCAGAGAGAGTGTGACCCGCCCGAGGTCCCTGTGAACCTCGCCCAATCTGAACCTGGGTTCCCCTTTCCAGTCCTGGCCCTCCACCACTCTGCTAGGGGTCTGATAGTCAGCAGAGATGGTGCTGGCCTGCAGGCACATTGTTTGGTCTCATCCTGTTGATGGCAATGAATTGGTATCGCCCCGTCAGATACTTCATTAAGTTGCCAAAGCCAGCTGGCTGCTCCTTTTCCCTTGAAAAGTGGGTTTCTGATTGTTTGTTTATTATTGCTACTAATTAGTCAAAAGTGAGGGGCCAACTGCTTATCTTGCAAGGAAGCACTTTTTACTTGTATTTGATTAGAAACAGTGGGAAAGCACTGTGCACCTGCTCAGGAGTAAAGTGACACACCCTGTTATTTCCCAGCAGGGTCTGGCAAACAGGATGATCAAGGCTTTTAAAAGGGGCTGGGACCTGTTGGAGATGCTGTGAAATGACTTGTGTTTAGGGAATTTATAAGGTTTTTCATTCTTCCCTGGGCACAAAAGGGCCATCCCTACGTCCTTGAGTTGGTTGTCTCCTCCTTAGGTGCCTCCAAGCCGCCTGGCCATCAGGGCAGGTGTGCTGGTTCCCCCAGAGAGGCTTTGTCCTCTCTCCTAGAGAGAGAGAGCAGGTTGAAGAGGCACTTGTTGTCTGGTGAAGAGGCCGCCTCCATCTTCCTGGAGCGGCTGCTCTCCCTCAAGGACAAAAAAGGGGAGCAGGCTACTTCCTTGACGAGAGCGTGGAACTAAAAGGAACGAAGTTATTGAGATCCAATCTGATGAGATGTGGGGGAGGGGGGCGCTGTGTTTTTTTAATAAATGGTGGCTCTGCAGAAGCCTCTTGGTAAAAATCAGCCTGTGGCGCAAGAATGCTAGGGCTGCACTGTTGATCTGCAGTCCCTGGGACAAAGCTTGCTCATCAGAGGACAGGCACGCATTGGAGAGCACCCTCCTTGTTGATGGTTTCTCCTGTCTCCCTGGGTCAGCTGCAGTCTCTGTGAAGCGCATGCAAACCATGTTGATGGCTTATGAGAAATGGCACTCTCTCTTTCCTGCCCCAACTTTCTGGCCTTGTCCTCCTTCACAATCCAGCGAGACAGACCTCCTTGGGTGCACCTGATGCTTGCTGGTTTTACTCAGTCCTTTTCTGTAAGCTACCGTGCATGTACAGATTAATGCCACCTTTCCCCAAGTGGATGCCTTCCAGAGATGCCAGATTACAACTCTCAGAAGTCCTTGTTGGCTCAGCTTCTGGGAATTAGGATTTCATCGTATTTGAGGTCCCAGACTGAGGGAGGCTGGTTTAGTATCATGGGTACGATAGGGACATGACAGAAAGATTTTGGGCAAGGAAATTAGGTTGGGGTTATTCTTTCTGCTCTTTTGGTTGTCCACTTCCAACCTGTGGCTTGCTTTGGGGGACAAACGGCTCTTTTTGATGGTCCATTGGCTCTCTTGCTGATTGTTACAGACGTCGTATCTGGAGGGCGGAGGGTGTGTGTTTTAATTCTTTAGTGGGGGAAGATTGTTGGATGAAGTCCAACGAACATCCTTGGTGGTGCCGGCTTTTCTTCGTCATACTCTTCCCAAAGGCTGAGCTAGAGTTTCTTGAACCAGCGCACACAGTTCTGTCTTCAGGCCCGTCCAGTTCCCTTGTATGGAGGCTTAGTGGCTTTGACTTTGAGGGGTTTGATTGGAAGGCATATATTGGGGCTGAGGAGAGTACAGCTTGGCTTCAGAAATTGGTAAAAAACCAGGCATCTGGTTGTGTTGCCTTTTCTTGTATAATGCAGTATCTGTCAGATACAAGAAATTTGGTTAGTTATCGAGGGTGCTTGAAATCTTTGAAGTTCTTCCAAGCTTCCCAAATGCAGCTGTACTCGTAGAAGGACAGATCAGATGTGCACTGCGGTTCTGTGCTTGTTTGCCCACTAGCAAGCCTGGTGAGATTCAAATGTCCTTCCTAGAAAGTGTACTTGGGCGTCCCTCATGCCACTTGCTCCTGCCCCCTGGTCGGCCCTGGAGCAGGTTTTTATGCAGCCCTGCAATTTACTGGAATGCTAGGCAGCCATAGTTCACTTTGAGTAAGACTGTAGAAGAAACCCGATGCTGTTGGTTAAAAGCTGATGCAAAGATTTGGCACATTGTGTGCTATATCTGATAGCAGCATCGGTTGCAGTTTCATTCAAGCAAAGATGGCTTGCAAAAAGCATGTATCTGGGGTAGAAGGATTGTGGGCTTAGAACATTGCAGCGTTCTTAAGCAGATGTAGGGCAGAGAAACCTTATCCGTGGTTGTTAACCATGTAGTTAAAGAAACCGTTCAGGCTGTGCCTTAGCTGCTGCTGGGGGCAAAGCGGTGTCTGAGCAGCATGTGGCTGACCATTAAAGGAAACCAGTCTTGAGCTTGGCTAGAAGAACCTGGCTTATTTCCCTTGGCTCTTCTTGACCACGTCCCAAAAGAATAAAGCCTGAATGAATATAGAAAAGGTCAGTAACTTAATGAATCTGGTCAGCTATTGACTTTGGGCTGCAAATAGCTTGTGCTGGGATGAGGAGAGAAACATATTTGGGGATTGCTGGTGTATTTGTGAAATTAACATACTGTATGTTGAAAGCCTTGAGAATCGCTCAGTCCAAAGGGGCTGCCCAGAAGAAGAATAAAGAGTGAACTAAAGTTCTCATTATCTGAGTCTGTTCAAGTGTGCTGTTTCTACTGTTGTCTCTGCTTAATTGTTAGTTGACTGCCTTTAACTACTGGTGGTTCTGGGGAAATTGAAAGAAGAACTCTCCCCCACCCCCTGCATCCTCAAAATGTTTCTTTAGCAGCTGCATGGGAATAACTTTATACAAGCTGGCTGAGGAAACTCAGCCAAGGAGAGCTAAATGAAAGTTAAAGGGCAAGGCAGCCTTGATGAAAATCTGTCTTCTCGCCCTCCCCCAGTCTTTGCCAAGATTTTCAGCAAGTGAATCCGGGTTCCTAATGGGAGTGTGAAATTCTGTAGGCCTTTGAGCCAAGTTTTGAACAAACAAGCATCTTCTCAGGTGACTGGCTGCCCTTTCTCTGCAGACAATTCCTGGGGCTTGCGTCCTTGAATAATTCATGCAGTTTTATGTGCCCTGCAGACAAGCTCACTGGAGCCAAGCCCTTCCTGATGGATGGCTGTCTGAGTGCAAGAAGAACAACAACAAAGGGATGTTGGGGCTGGGGCTGGTGGAGGCTTTGATTTTTTGGGATGGGTAATTAAGCAAAACTATGTGCAAGACCCTCCCCCCATCCACCCATTGGAAGGAATATTCAAGATGTTCTTAAAACACAGTTTCCAAACCAGTGGGTTTGGTTTCAAAAACTGGTCCCTAGTGCTTTGTGGAGCACAGATTGTGAGGGTCAGTCTATGCCCTGTGCATCCATTCTGCACTAGCATTGGGCTAGCATGAGGCTGGAGCCCAGTAGATGTAAACGTCAATGGATGAGGGAGCGTGGTGTTCTGGCGCTGGGAGATGTTTCTTGGAAGTCAGTTGTATTGTTTTCTTTTGTGTTTTTCTATTGCTGCTTTTATGTAATGGGCTGTGAGAATAAACCTTGGGAGATAGGAGGAAGAGTGGTGGCCTCGACTGTGGTCTGATAAGAGAAATTGAGTCCAGAGTGGGGATGGGGATGGAGGAAGCGTCTCCGAAGGGACCTTCTCTTGTCCTCTGGAAAGTAAGAGCATGGGAGGGGGGGAAGCCATTTCAGATTTGCAAGTTTCGGTTATGGTAACCTTACTGTAAAAGTAGTACTAACACTCATGGTTTTGGTTTCCTGTTCAGACTACCATGAAGGGCTGACATTTTGTGAGCTGCCCAGGGTTATTATATATAAGATGGGTGGCCACATATGTCTCTTAAATAAATAAATTACATTTTTTGGCTGCTGGATACCTGAGCCTTCATTTAGTACTGTTCTCTATTGTGGCATTAAATAAGATAGCGGACCAATTGGCAACTTTGGAATGCATGGCATGATTATTATAAGGAGAAGATTTGTTTGGTGATATTCCAGAGCAATGTAAATTCCTCTAGTGGGTTATCGTCCCTTGCCAGGCTGGACTGGGTGGCAGAGAAATGACAGATATTATTCAGGCAGCCCATTTTCTGTTTCTGAGCTTAATGCAAGGATGGCTCCTTATGTCCTTGTATTTTTATGATTGCATTGGAAGGATTTTTATGTAAGCTGCTGTGAGAGAATTGTAAAACACAGGATACACATAAAGGATGCTTCTTTACTAACAGGACTTTTTAAGTGGTCTAGTAAAAGGCAAAGTGCACCCGTATTGTGCATTTGTAAGTTGCCCAGAGTTGCTCTTGCAAATTGGGTGGCCATATAAATCAAATCAGCTAATCAATAAAATAAATGTTGGTGCCCAGAAAACTCCAGGGACGTGTTTGTGAAATCACCTGGTGCTGAGCTTCACTCAAAGGAGGCAAAACCTTTTACTTCAGTCAGTTGCATCCCTCGCACCTGGCTCGTCTCAGTGGATCACTATCATGGAGCAAAACAATCTGTACAGGGTGGAGT